GTCATTGTTAAAGGCAGTACACAGTTTATATAGTCATTGTTAAAGTCAGTACACAGTTTATATAGTCATTGTTAAAGTCAGTACACAGTTTATATAGTCATTGTTAAAGTCAGTACACAGTTTATATAGTCATTGTTAAAGTCAGTACACAGTTTATATAGTCATTGTTAAAGGCAGTACACAGTTTATATAGTCATTGTTAAAGGCAGTACACAGTTTATATAGTCATTGTTAAAGTCAGTACACAGTTTATATAGTCATTGTTAAAGGCAGTACACAGTTTATATAGTCATTGTTAAAGTCAGTACACAGTTTATATAGTCATTGTTAAAGGCAGTACACAGTTTATATAGTCATTGTTAAAGTCAGTACACAGTTTATATAGTCATTGTTAAAGTCAGTACACAGTTTATATAGTCATTGTTAAAGTCAGTACACAGTTTATATAGTCATTGTTAAAGTCAGTACACAGTTTATATAGTCATTGTTAAAGTCAGTACACAGTTTATATAGTCATTGTTAAAGTCAGTACACAGTTTATATAGTCATTGTTAAAGTCAGTACACAGTTTATATAGTCATTGTTAAAGTCAGTACACAGTTTATATAGTCATTGTTAAAGTCAGTACAGTTTATATAGTCATTGTTAAAGTCAGTACAGTTTATATAGTCATTGTTAAAGTCAGTACACAGTTTATATAGTCATTGTTAAAGTCAGTACACAGTTTATATAGTCATTGTTAAAGTCAGTACAGTTTATATAGTCATTGTTAAAGTCAGTACACAGTTTATATAGTCATTGTTAAAGTCAGTACACAGTTTATATAGTCATTGTTAAAGTCAGTACAGTTTATATAGTCATTGTTAAAGTCAGTACACAGTTTATATAGTCATTGTTAAAGGCAGTACACAGTTTATATAGTCATTGTTAAAGTCAGTACAGTTTATATAGTCATTGTTAAAGTCAGTACACAGTTTATATAGTCATTGTTAAAGTCAGTACACAGTTTATATAGTCATTGTTAAAGTCAGTACACAGTTTATATAGTCATTGTTAAAGTCAGTACACAGTTTATATAGTCATTGTTAAAGGCAGTACACAGTTTATATAGTCATTGTTAAAGTCAGTACACAGTTTATATAGTCATTGTTAAAGTCAGTACAGTTTATATAGTCATTGTTAAAGTCAGTACACAGTTTATATAGTCATTGTTAAAGTCAGTACACAGTTTATATAGTCATTGTTAAAGTCAGTACAGTTTATATAGTCATTGTTAAAGTCAGTACAGTTTATATAGTCATTGTTAAAGTCAGTACACAGTTTATATAGTCATTGTTAAAGTCAGTACACAGTTTATATAGTCATTGTTAAAGTCAGTACACAGTTTATATAGTCATTGTTAAAGTCAGTACAGTTTATATAGTCATTGTTAAAGTCAGTACACAGTTTATATAGTCATTGTTAAAGTCAGTACACAGTTTATATAGTCATTGTTAAAGTCAGTAGTACAGTTTATATAGTCATTGTTAAAGTCAGTACAGTTTATATAGTCATTGTTAAAGTCAGTACACAGTTTATATAGTCATTGTTAAAGTCAGTACACAGTTTATATAGTCATTGTTAAAGTCAGTACAGTTTATATAGTCATTGTTAAAGTCAGTACAGTTTATATAGTCATTGTTAAAGTCAGTACACAGTTTATATAGTCATTGTTAAAGTCAGTACACAGTTTATATAGTCATTGTTAAAGTCAGTACACAGTTTATATAGTCATTGTTAAAGTCAGTACACAGTTTATATAGTCATTGTTAAAGTCAGTACAGTTTATATAGTCATTGTTAAAGTCAGTACACAGTTTATATAGTCATTGTTAAAGTCAGTACACAGTTTATATAGTCATTGTTAAAGTCAGTACAGTTTATATAGTCATTGTTAAAGTCAGTACAGTTTATATAGTCATTGTTAAAGTCAGTACACAGTTTATATAGTCATTGTTAAAGTCAGTACAGTTTATATAGTCATTGTTAAAGTCAGTACACAGTTTATATAGTCATTGTTAAAGTCAGTACACAGTTTATATAGTCATTGTTAAAGTCAGTACACAGTTTATATAGTCATTGTTAAAGTCAGTACAGTTTATATAGTCATTGTTAAAGTCAGTACACAGTTTATATAGTCATTGTTAAAGTCAGTACACAGTTTATATAGTCATTGTTAAAGGCAGTACACAGTTTATATAGTCATTGTTAAAGTCAGTACACAGTTTATATAGTCATTGTTAAAGTCAGTACAGTTTATATAGTCATTGTTAAAGTCAGTACACAGTTTATATAGTCATTGTTAAAGTCAGTACACAGTTTATATAGTCATTGTTAAAGTCAGTACAGTTTATATAGTCATTGTTAAAGTCAGTACAGTTTATATAGTCATTGTTAAAGTCAGTACACAGTTTATATAGTCATTGTTAAAGGCAGTACACAGTTTATATAGTCATTGTTAAAGTCAGTACACAGTTTATATAGTCATTGTTAAAGTCAGTACAGTTTATATAGTCATTGTTAAAGTCAGTACAGTTTATATAGTCATTGTTAAACAGTACACAGTTTATATAGTCATTGTTAAAGTCAGTACACAGTTTATATAGTCATTGTTAAAGTCAGTACAGTTTATATAGTCATTGTTAAAGTCAGTACAGTTTATATAGTCATTGTTAAAGTCAGTACACAGTTTATATAGTCATTGTTAAAGTCAGTACACAGTTTATATAGTCATTGTTAAAGTCAGTACACAGTTTATATAGTCATTGTTAAAGTCAGTACAGTTTATATAGTCATTGTTAAAGTCAGTACACAGTTTATATAGTCATTGTTAAAGTCAGTACACAGTTTATATAGTCATTGTTAAAGTCAGTACACAGTTTATATAGTCATTGTTAAAGTCAGTACACAGTTTATATAGTCATTGTTAAAGTCAGTACAGTTTATATAGTCATTGTTAAAGTCAGTACACAGTTTATATAGTCATTGTTAAAGTCAGTACACAGTTTTATATAGTCATTGTTAAAGTCAGTACACAGTTTATATAGTCATTGTTAAAGTCAGTACAGTTTATATAGTCATTGTTAAAGTCAGTACACAGTTTATATAGTCATTGTTAAAGTCAGTACAGTTTATATAGTCATTGAAACAAGGGATAATATTTTATAGTGTGTTGTTAGAAAAGTGATGGGCTTTTGGGATGAATAACATGTTTCATTGTTGGAGTCATTTCTCCTTCATCTATGCACTGTTACATATCAAATATGGGATCTTTAAGAATCTCCCAAAAGTGTAAAAAGAATTCAACTGACAGACCATCAATTCCTGGAGTTTTGCTCTTTTTCATTGAAAACAAAGCTTCTTTCATTTCAATTAGAATCAAATCTGAATCACACAATTCTTTAAAACTATCATCTACTTCTGGACAATATTGTCTTATTTTACTAAAAAATTCCATGCAAGCTTTTGAATCAAATTCAGAAGTGTATAATTAACTATAAAACGTGATTAGAGATCACTTTTGCACCTGTGGTTATTGTTTCATTAAACTTGAGAGAAGTCAAACATTTTTGTTTTGCCGTTTCTTTTTTCAAGACCAAAAAGTAAGAGTTGGTCTCTCCTTCTTCGATCCATTTAGCTCTGGACCGAATATAAGCACCTTTTGCTAAATCTAAATAAAACTGATCAAGTTCTGTTTGCATTTCTTTTAATTCAACCTGTTCCAGTTCAGACATAACGTTTTTAGAAAGATCCTTTATTCTCTCAATTAAATCCATCTCTTTTTGTTTTTTTTGTTTTTTAAGATTTTTACTTCTTTGTATTGCAACAGCTCAGTTTATATTTAAAATATTCCCACTTTTGTTTGTGATTACCATTTTCAATGTCTAAGAGTATTTCATTGATAATCCTTATAACCTTTTCATTGAACTCCTCCTCCTGCAAAAGGGCATTATTGAATTTCCAATATCCTTAGTTTGGACTGGTGTAATTCACCACACAGTTCAAGTGAAATGTGCTGATCTGATAAAGGAGCAGAAGAAGAAACCTCTGAGAAGATAAAGGCTCTGATGATGAAATCAAAAACAAGTCAATTCTGGATCTTAAAGATAAACTTCTATTAGACCAAGTACAATCCTTTTTATCAGGATATAAAAGGCATCAGTGAGTGATAAATCCAAACATAGTTTTGTTATGTTATTGCTCTGAAGTGCTTGAACAGTTTTAGGTGGGAATCTGTCTTTTGTTTCATCTGCACATTCATTAAAATCACCACATAAAATAATCTGAGAGTTTGCATATTTCTGTAACAACTCGTTAAGTTTGGATGATATTTGGGAGAAGAGTGAGTTGTTATGTGAATGTGTATTATGTCCATATATGTTACAAATAGTAAAAACTAAGTTATCTTGTTTGATCGTAAAAACAATCCATCTACCTGTATCTGCTGTAAATACTTCAATTACATCCCCTTTAAACTTATGAATCAAAATGGCAACTCCCGCTGAACGGTTTGAGCCATGGCTGAAGTAAATATTGTTACCCCACTGACTCTTCCAGAATTTCACATCAGCATCATTTGAATGAGTTTCTTGAAGCAATATGAACTCAGCATCACTTCTTTTAAGAAATAAAAACAGTGCTTTCCTTTTAGTTGAATCATGAATACCCCTGACATTCAATGAAGTTACATTTAAAGATGATAATTGAACCATAAAGAACACACACAAAAAAGAGCTCTCTTTCAAACAGTAGCTAAAACTTTAGACTTGCTTTAGATCAAAGAACGAGGAAGCAGCCAGACAACCATGAAATAAATGTCTAGTTTGGAGACCAAGAATCAACTTTCAATACAGTGCAAACAAAAATTATGCCAAGATAATTGCTTGCATGTCAATAGGCAGAGTACTGAAATATTAAATAACTTTGAGGCAAAAAGAAAGCACTTATTATATTATTTCAGTATTACCAAAACATGAGGATGCTGGAGAGTGGAATGAGGCTACATTTCAAACACCAAATGCATAACTTCACATCCCAGTAGTTCATCTTCTTTCCATCGATCAGCGCGAAGGGACCGATGAGGGTGGCTCTCTTCCCTTCTTTCCCTTCTTTCTCCACTAGGGGCCAGAGTTTCTCTCTTGCAAGTCTGTCCTCGGGAGACAGTGAAGCCTGTTGTCGCGGAGACATGTGCAGCCTTTGGCACACTTCCACAGCATCAAGGATACGGTGAAGAGCAGACAGGAGGATGACTGTTGGATCCATCCGTTCTCTTTGGGTCATCCATCCTCAGGTAAACCCAGAGCAGACAGGAGGATGACTGTTGGATCCATCCGTTCGCTTTGGGTCATTCATCCTCAGGTAAACCCAGAGCAGACAGGAGGATGACTGTTGGATCCATCTGTTCTCTTTGGGTCATCCATCCTCAGGTAAACCCAGAGCAGACAGGAGGATGACTGTTGGATCCATCCGTTCTCTTTGGGTCATCCATCCTCAGGTAAACCCAGAGCAGACAGGAGGATGACTGTTGGATCCATCCGTTCTCTTTGGGTCATCCATCCTCAGGTAAACCCAGAGCAGACAGGAGGATGACTGTTGGATCCATCCGTTCTCTTTGGGTCATCCATCCTCAGGTAAACCCAGAGCAGACAGGAGGATGACTGTTGGATCCATCCGTTCTCTTTGGGTCATCCATCCTCAGGTAAACCCAGAGCAGACAGGAAGATGACTGGTCTGTTGGATCCATCTGTTCTCTTTGGGTCATCCATCCTCAGGTAAACCCAGAGCAGACAGGAGGATGACTGTTGGATCCATCCGTTCTCTTTGGGTCATCCATCCTCAGGTAAACCCAGAGCAGACAGGAGGATGACTGTTGGATCCATCCGTTCTCTTTGGGCCATCCATCCTCAGGTAAACCCAGAGCAGACAGGAGGATGACTGTTGGATCCATCCGTTCTCTTTGGGTCATCCATCCTCAGGTAAACCCAGAGCAGACAGGAGGATGACTGTTGGATCCATCCGTTCTCTTTGGGTCATCCATCCTCAGGTAAACCCAGAGCAGACAGGAGGATGACTGTTGGATCCATCCGTTCTCTTTGGGTCATCCATCCTCAGGTAAAGCTGCAAACCCGGAGCAACTTTCCCCAGGACGAGGATGACTTCTTTCCTCACATCTTCATTCACATTTCCTTTGAGGCCATGTAGTTTTAGTGACCATCTCCAACTGTACCGCTTGCACTCTTCCACCGCTGTTTTAAGAAGCCGGTTCTCCTCCTTCAGCTTCACAATCTCAGACTGAACATGTTTTATATTCTTCCCCGTAGCTGTCCGATTTGCCATTTGTTTGGATGTATTTTCCATTGTTGCTTCAATGGCTGAAACTTTCTGAAAAGTGTCATCTTTCTTTCTGGACAGCTCCTTCAGTGACGTCATCAGAAAGGCTATAACTGCCTCGTTCTTGGCCCCCTCCCCGTTACTATCACATTTTTGAGAGGGGGTTGTGACCAAAATGCTCAAACAGTATTCCAAGCTATTGACACGGCTCCCGGTCATTTATTCACTGCCTACAGCCCCATGGCTCCACACCTCGGGATTTTGCAGTTTATCAGTATTTTATACCACTCAAAGCCTCGGCACAGCGCGCACTGGCTCTGCAGCAGCCCTCACCATTTGTCACCGGCAACTCTGCTCCGGGTCGCTCCGGACCATACTAGACCGCTCAAAGCTTAGCGCTCAAAGACTATATATAGCGCTCAAAGCAAATATTAAATGCTCAAAGCAAATATTAAATGCTCAAAGCAAATATATGTGTACTCAAAGCATATATATGTGTGCTCGAAGCAAATATTATATATATTTATATATTAAATATATTATTATTATAAATATTATATGTCGCTCCCATCTCTGTGTGGAGTGAGAGGACTAGTGCCCAATAATAACTATTGTAAACCGCTTTGTGACTCTGGTCTGTGAAAGGCGGTATATAAATAAATAGAGATTACTTATATGCTTTGAGCATATATAATATGCTCAAAGCCATACACACTACTCCAGGCTGTTTAAACTCCGCTCTTGACCGCTCCTGGTTGATCCTGAAGCACTGAGATGAATGTAACCATCAGGACAATGGTCACACACAACGGCAGACTTATGGGCTCAAAGGCACCGCTCACTGCTTTTGACCTGTAAATACCTGCTTTAGAAAGTTTACCACTGATCCAGTCTGTTTATAGCATCATTATGACCATTGAACATTTGTATTAACAATAATAATAATAATGTTGAAGATGATGATGATGATTACGATTATTAAAATAAAAAGATATTAATATTGTAATTGTTGTCGTTTTTGTTGTTGTAATTAGTAGTAGTAATAGAAGTAGTACTACTACTACTAATGTCTTTAGTACAGCAGCTTATATTTCCAGGACACTAATACTTTCATTTTTGGGGTATTTCTATTTTAATAAATAATTTGTTCTCAACTTTTAAGTGTACATCTGAATTATGTTGTTGCGCATTCACACGTTTAAAGGGCCTAAAAAGGAAACATCCACCGCGTGTCTGTAGTGATGAACCATCGCGGCTGAAGTAAGTATCTGACTAATGCTGTTGTTTGTGGGCACATCCATAAATCTAATTATTAAAATGATGCTGCCTAAACTATATCTAGATGATTAAGGTGTTTACAACAGTGGAAGAGCTTTATGAAATAGAAAATAAAGTTTGCCCATACTGTAAAAGTAATACGCTGGCGTCCAAAGAGCACATTCATAATGTGCATTATCGCTGTTTCCTTCAACAATGGACAACACGGTAAATTGTCTTGTTTTTTATACACTTCTACACTTCTTCATACACTGACGTGCGTATTCATACACGTGTCCACGCGCGCACGCACACAAACAGGCATATACGCTCATAGAAAAAAGTGTTCACTGTGTGTGAGCGCACGCACAAAACTGACATACACGCGCAAATGCACACGCTCACAGAAAAAAGTGTTCAGTCTGTGTGTGTGTGTGTGTGTGTGTGTACGTGCATGACTGCGCATGCTCCTGTGTGTGTTTTAGACCAGTTCTCCATACCATGTCATTGCCATATCAAGAGCAATTACCGCTGTCACTGGCTTTGCCCTGTTTGTGAAGCAATTTTGCAACGAAAACATTTGTTTGAATATCATCTTCAAACCCATGGCAAGTAGCTTTTCAAAATGCCTTTTATTAAAACGTGCACAATGTTCTTGCAACAACATCTACTTTGAATCTTTGTTGTACAGGTCTTATCCCCACAACAACCAAACAAGGTATGATCATAATTAAAAAAAAGTTGTTGTCATTTAAACTAAAATGTGATTTTTTTGCTCTTTTCTAGAGGTTGCATCTACCCACAAAAAGTCCAAAATGGAAGAGTCCTTTAAGTGTCCTTCATGCATGGCTACGTTTCTATCTGTGGTTACATTAAGAAGACATGAGATTGATAAGCATAACAAAACCAGGGCACCTATAATGCTTGTCGATAAAGAAAGGGGAATATTTGTCACCACCAAGGATAAGTCTGGTCCATGAACTATAATACATATGTCAAAATCTTTCCAGTTACAAATTATTGACTGTGAAGAACCCGATTGTAGGGAATTCATGTCTCTGGCTCCTGGACGAGAATGTTGTCACCTACAGAGGGTAAACAATTTCCAAGCGCATCCACTACCACCCATTTTAAAAGATGCTTCAATTGAGGCATTAGTAGAAAAGGGCCTCATGTCTGCTTTGTCATCACAGCAGTGTGCAAAGTTACAAGTATCCATGTTCAGTACAATTCACTGAACATGGATACTCGTCCAAAAACATGTACTTTTCTGTGTTTACTGGAGAAAAACATAGTTATAGCATGTTTGGACGAGTAAGAGTGACATTTGATATAGGAAAGGGGCTATGGATGTGTCAGACCTCCTTAGACATGATGACGCCACCTTATCATGTGACAGTGATGATGACCTGGACCACATGTGTCAAAGTCAAGGCCCGCGGGCCAAATCCGGGCCGCGAATGAATTATCTATGGCCCCCGGGACATTGCCTGCCATTGAGGCAATGTATTGACCCCTTAAGCTCGCTAGCCCCCGCCGGCGGGAGCAAACGAGGAAAAAAAATACATCTGCTCGCAATAGCAGATGTATTTTGAACTTCATAAGCCACAAGCTATATATCATTTTAAAGCTTATTTTCTCAGCTATATTTATATGTAAGTGTAAACGATATCAGACTTTGCATTAAAAATATATAACGCATAATATGGGCACAACATAAATCACGTCTGTATTTGTTTTTTACCTTTCGTCTTCTGCTGCTCCAACAAATTAGACTTTCCCCATCCTTGCTTAGTCGCTTTCTCTCCGTAACTGTTCATTGAAGAAGAATATCCACTTGTATTTCCCAAAGTATAATCCATTCTGCAGATTTAATCAAAAAACGCCCCGAAAAGAGGTCCAGACTGCTCTTTTACATTTCACCAAGTTTGAGCTTTTTTTTTTTTTTTTTACTATTTTCATGTTCTCAGATGTCTATTACATCTAATATGTACAGTATGAGGATTGGCTTTAGAGCATATTTTATCGAGCCAACAGGTGTCACCGGCACTGCCTCTGGATGTTGAGAAACATTGAACCAGTCCGGCCCTCGGCGCAGAGCAAACATCTTTTTTTGGCCCTCTGATGTATTTGACTTTGACATGCCTGGCCTGGACCATCCCATACAAATAGATTCATCTCTCATAAAGAAAATAGTGGAGTACTTGTGGTCAGAGAAAAAAATTCCCTCTTGTTTTTCAGAAGTTTTTCATTTGTCAGTGCCAGAAACACCACAATTCAATTTGGAGAGACGAGAAAACAGGAAGTTTTGAGTATTTTATTGAAGGGAGGTTTGGCGCCCTAGGCCCCGGTGCGGCCTTCAGATCGGAAAGGCTCTTGCGATGGAGCGCGCACAATTCCCCGGGACCTAGGCACTGGTGGCGGCATTTGGCAGCGGGAAGCAGATTGAAGGCAGATTGGAGGCAGATTGAAGGCAGATTGAAGGCAGATTGGAGGCAGGGTGAAGAGGAGGAGGAGGGGAGGCGGTGGTTGCGAGGCTTCAGGAGGCAGAGAGTGGTAGTTTTTCCGTTTTTATGCGGCTGGCGTAGTCGGTACAGATGATTGGAAGGGGGCGTCTGCTGAGCGATAGGCTGGGGATGCGAGCCGGCCTGGAGGGGGTAATTTTGGTTAACGTCTACCAAATTGAACTTTCG